ATATATATATACATACAGTATGTGTTCTAATTTACAATAAAATCCAAATATACAGAAGATGTAATGTGTATGTAAAACAAGGTTTGTTCATACCGGTACTTCATTTAGTATTAATTTAGTAATTCTGGCAGCCGACTTAATCCTAAATGGACCACGTTTGTAGTTACCAGAAAACAAGAGAAAGCAAGGATTCATGCTGAGATTTTTTATTAAAGTCTCAACTGTTATAGAAATGCTTTACCAATTAAAAACACGTGTATGCACGACTGAATGTTGTTAAAATAGGATGCATCTTTATGAGATCTGAGTAGCTGTTTTTTTTTATTATGTTTGTTTTGAGAGGACTGGTTTTAGTCTGGATTTAAATTCATTTTATTATTCAAAAATCTGAAAGCAGACACAACAGAGGAGAGTGCAAGTTTTAACTGCACAGCAATTATTTTAGACAAAAAAGAAAACAATTCTTTGAAAATAATAAAGAAAAAAAACAGTTATCATCAGGTGAGAAACCATCTTTAAATGACTCTTTACATTTCAGACTGGATCTAGACCAGATAATTAAAAATAATATTTAACATAAAAGACTAACAAATAGTATTTCACCACTCAGTCAACATTAAACACACAAAAAAAGAGGACTTTGTGATGTTTGGCAGGCTTTATAAAATGAAGCAAACAGGTGTTAATAGCTGCACAAACGCCATAAATCAACAGATTAACAACTTGACCTCGGGTCTTTCTGGTCTCTGTAAAAGAATCTGTAAGGTTTTATTCCATTTTACCCAAGTTTAAAAATGCATTTATTCAGTACAGTGTGAAAGACCAGAGGAAAACAAACGGAAAAAAAAAAAAGTTGGTGTCGTAGACAAATAAAAGCAGTCAAGAGAAGCTGGAGTTTGACTTGAGCATCCCGGAGAGTTCAAGTGTTGCGTGAAAAGAAAAACATTTCAGAAACAACCTCAACAAAAAAGGCTTTGAGCAGCGCCATAAACTAACACTCTAAGAAGCATCTTATTTTGCTGTGAGAAACGTGGACCAGACTATTTGAATGGATGGCTTTATTGATTGGATTTCTATGTACCACAAAATGTCCATTATTTGACGTAACAGATGCTGCAAGAAATGATGGGTGTGTGTTGTGATGACGCTGGGGCAGGGGCGCCAGCTGACGTCAAACAGAGGCCACCATTTTTTTATTTTTTATTTTTAGCACTTGGTCCGCTGCTTGAGATTGTGAAGAGTCTTTCAGCTTTCAACAGCCGGCGCTTCTTTTTCTGCCGAGATGGAGCCGTCTGCTTCATCGTACGTGTTTGTCTGTTGTTCAGCTGGGCTGTCTGTGCTGCGCCTGAGACGAAATACACTTCAGTTACAAACAAGTGTCGAAATTAAACCTAAAATAATCAACACACCATGATGAATCAGACATTTATATAACAAACTGAGAATAAACTAGAATCAAGCTAGATCAGTTTGGTCAAAATGATCTCAGCATATTTTCAGATTCCTGCTTTTTAAGCTACATTTTGATCTTCCTCATATCATGAGCAGCTCCAGAGATGTGGCTTGATTTGTCTTCGTAATCAGGATAACCCATTTATGTTTGGTCTGAATCCTGTTTTTAAGTTATTTTAATGATTTTATGTCATTTCATTGAGGAAACCATAAACAAAGTTTGAATATTAAGGTTTGTCAGCTGAAAAGAAAAAAGCTTTGCTAGCTAGAAGAGAAAATGACAAAAATGTACAAAATTTCTGCTCAAAATCATGTTTTTTGTGGCTACAACTAAAAAAAAAGAGGTTCACAATTTTTTTTCAAGGTTATTATATTTCATATTGTTCATCAGAGGTGGAGGGCTCGAGACCGGTCTCGATGCGTTTTTTTCTGGTCTTGGGCTCGGTCTTGGACTGTTAGGCCTCGGTCTTGGTCTCGTTGCTCTAGGTCTCGACAATTTTGGTCGAGGCCGGCCGAGACTGCAATAGTTTTTGTCCAAAAAAATACAAAAACATAACTTCCTTTGATCTTCAGCCGCACACAGATATGCTGCGCCGCTGCGCAGAACCAGGAAGAGAGGAGAGCGGCTGTCCTGCTGTCATTCAGAACCAGCCACGGCTGAACTTTGTGTCAAAATAGATCTGTAAGCAATATTCAGTCTAAAACGCAACTTCATCTGTTTATAAAATAGCCTAGATATTATTTATTTTTTTGTCCCAAGTTGTTTCTGAGCAGTCCGTGCTGTTGGAGCCTCGCTCGCTTCTCCTCTGAGCTCGAGGCTTCCTCACGACCAGCATTCAAAACTTGCCCTAATGTCTGTCTCCTCCAGGGGTGGACTGGCAGAATCAAACAGCTCGCGCCGCGTAGCGCAGTGGTTCCCAAACTTTTTATCTTCTGACCCACAAAATATCCATGGCAAAAACTTGTGACCCCAAATATTACTGGTCTGAGTACACAAACTTAGTTAATAACCCTAAAAACACAGGCTTTTTGACAATCTAAACAGCTTGTACACAAATATAAATACTTATTTTTACTTATTTTGTGTTTTTGTAATAATTATAGGGAATACTGTATATTGCATCAGCAATCATTTTATTACCCTTTAAATTGATGTCTGGAGATTATCCAAGGTGCTTCATGACCCATAATTGGGTCCCAAGCCCCAATGGTTCCCAAACTTTTCAGCTTTTGACCCACAGAATAGTACAAAACAGTAGCAGAGACCTGAGCCCCCAACTATTTTTGGATGATAAACATTTGTATCAGGTCAACAAAACATGGGCATAGTAACAATGTTTTTTATATTACATTCATCCATTTTAAATATACTAACCTCACTCATTTGTAACAACTAAGGCAAAAATGTAATTAATTCAGAAAATCTTTTCAGGACCCCACTTTGGGTCCCGACCCCAACTTTGGGAAACACTGGCGTAGCGGACCTGGCGTCAGGGGGGAAAATCGTCTCTGTGGCGCTTATTAATAACTCAGCTGTCATAAATTAGAAATGTTTTGTCTCTACTAGAGCCACATAAACTATATCTGTTTGTTTCTGACATCTAACACAGAGATGCGCAGTGCTGCGGCTCAAACTGTCATTCTCTGTGGAACATATGTCAATCATCAGGGGCGCCACAAGCAGGGGTGGCCAGGAGGGGCAATGTCCCCCACCCCAACCCCTAAAAAAATGGTGGTCCTACCAGTTTAATCCTCTTGAGTCTCAAAAACCTTTGTTTTGTGCTCATTTAAAATTTTACTAGCTAATAGAATTATTAAAAAAACTTATAATTTTTTTTTTCAAAAAACTAAGTTAAAAATCCACCCATCCATTATTTTTAACTGCTTACTTTACACAAAAATTACTTACAGTAATATTGGCAATCTTTCAATTAAGTTTTATAATCATGTAAAATGTGTTAGAGCTACTTTTCAACACACATTTTTTAATATGATGTAACTGAGAATTCCTCTATTCTGTTATTCTGCCCAAACAAATAATATTAACAAAAAATACAACCCTAACGCTTACTTTACACAAAAATTACTTACAGTAATATTGGCAAACTTTCTATTAAGTTTTATAATCATGTAAAAAGTGTTAGAGCTACTTTTCAACATATATTTTTTGAAACGTTTAAACAACCTGAACTTTCTAGGATTAAAGGACTAATGTTTCAGCAAGATCTAGAGAAACTCATCCATGTGTTTTTAGTCCCACTGATTACTGTAACAGTGTCTTCACAGGTCTGCCTAAAAGAATCCACCAGACAGCTGCAGCTGATCTAGAACGCTGCTGCTCATGTTTTGACTAAAACCAGGAAGATAGAGCATTTCACCAGTTCTAAAGTCCTTACACTGGTTCCCTGTAACTCAGAGAATAGACTTTAAAATACTGTTATTAGTTTATAAATCACTTAACGGCTTAGCACCACAACACATTTGAGATCTGCTGTTGTATCAACCTTCCAGACCTCTCAGGTCTTCTGGTTCTGGTCTGCTCTGCATCCCCAGGACCAGAACCAAACATGGAGAAGCAGCATTCAGCTTTTACGCACCGCAAATCTGGAACAAATTCCCAGAAAACAGTAGAACTGTAGCCGAAAATCTGATCCTTTAAATCAAGACTGAAAACCCACCTGTTTAGGGTTGCTTATGAAACATTATAAATGAAACATTAATAAACATGTTGATGTGTAACAATGACACCTGACAAACTGTAATGCTTCAATTGTTAACTGTGTGTAACTTTGTAGTTTTTGTGTTTTTTTGTGTAAAGCACTTTGAACTGCCTTGTTCCTGAAATGTGCTACACAAAAAAACTTGATTAAGTTTTTATTATTTTTAAATATGGCAAATCTTTATTACACTCGCTGTTTTTATTTTTCATTCAATTGTGGAAAATAAGCTGATGAATTCCATTTAAAGAATGTGTATCAATGTAATGCTGCATTTAATAACTTTAATATTAGTTTATTTCTACAGTTATTAATTTAATAGCAAGAAGCAGTTTTGGTTGTTTAATTCCATTAGGTTTTGCACTTTGTGGTGTAAAAAAACAACAAAAACAATGTCCTGAAATTCGGTTTCGGTCTTGGTCTCGGAACAGCCGGTCTTGACTACACCTGTGTTCATTATATTTTGATGCAATAGTTGCTAATGTTTTCATCAATGCACATTGGTTTTAGTTCTCAGAAAACACCTGAACCACAACAGAAAGTGTATTAAAACCACTGAACACCACTTAATAAGTGATTCTTACCTGTTTGGACTTGAAGCTGTGTCGTCGTCGTTTTCTTCCTGTAACGGTGAATTCGGTTTGTCCTCCACCTCCGTCTCGTTTTTCTTCTCCTCCGACTCCCCGTTCACTGGAGTGACTTCTAACAAAAGACACATTTAGACTGATATAGAGCTGCCAGAGAAGATCAAATCCAGCATGGCTTAAAAATGATGAGTTTTACCAGTGCTTTGTGATTCTTTTTCATCATTCTCTGGCTCCTTGTTCTCTGTTTTAGGTTTAGTCGCCATCTCAGCCTTTCCCACGAAACGAAGTTTTAACTTGTTATAAACATCGCTGGCTTTCTCCATGACTGCAGCACTGGCCTTATATCGTCGAATCTGTGTAGACAACACATTGTTTTTTGGTGTTAACAGAGAAGAGAACGTAGAAATGACTCAGCCAGAAACTAAACATGCCAGTGGAGGACAACAGAGCTGCTTCATGGAAGGAAACCTCAGCTTTAGCCTTTTAGCTTTCACGTTAGCTCCCAAGCTAATATGGCGATATATGGCATTGGCTACAGAGCTAATTTATTAAATATCACGCTTGAGCCTTTTAGCCCACAGAAACAAAATATATCTTTATCGTCATATACTGTTATTTTAAATTAATTTCAGCATAGTTTCAGTTGTGATTATTCTTTTAGCCTTTTATCTTGCCTTATATCATTTTTATTTTGTTCTTATGTGTTTTATTTTGCCTCATTGGGTTTTATCTGGTCAAGCCTGATTTGATCTCGTCTCATCTTTTAATCTCATTTTATCTTTTTATTCTGATATTGATTTTAAGGGTTGGGAGATGGTTTTATTTTTATATTGAGCACCTGGTCACTTTTAATAATAATAATAATCCTGTTACAGTATGTCTACTGTATGTCCGAGACATTTGTCTTTTGGAAGGAAGCTGACTTCACTGTCATCAACTCTAAAATAAATAAATAAATAATTAAAAAATAAAGTTGACTGATTGTTGAAGTAGTTGGAGATCTGCAGTGTTGTATCATGATATGATATTGTATTGATTTGTTTGGATGGCAATTTGATTTTTCTCGATATCACAAAGTCTGTCATGATTCGATTTCAGTTCAATTTAAATTCACAAGTCTGTGATCGATAAAATGCGATATCATTTGCCCATCTAACAGAATGACTGTGTTAGATGGGCATATTATTGATCCACGAGCATATGATGACAATATACATGGATATTTTCATTTTGCCTCAGTATAAATCAGGGCTCCCACACCTTGGTCAACATCAAATTCAAGGACCTTTCAAGGACTTTCCAGTTCCAATTTCCTCAAATTCAAGAACCACGCGTGACAGCAATTACCTATTGCTACAGCAGAATGTTACCAATAAACAGGTTTAATATCATGTAAATTCAATGAAAAACTGAAATACATAAAAAAAACTGTTGAGTCAGAAACAATGAAAGAAAGTGGATTAAATGTTTACCCTACGTTCATGTCCACAATACATGGACATGTAATTATGTCCTGGGAGATTCAGCAGCTCAGTTTGGGAGGAGGGTGTGTGAACATGTCCAGACCCTGAGGACAGGAGGAGCTGTGGTGGTCTCACCTGAGCTCAGAAAGAACGACCTGTCCTACTCTGCTCTGATTGGTTAAAACTATGACTATGGCTCACGTTATTTGTTGAAAGCCACGTCAGTTTACCGTAATCCTGAGTTATCCACCGGAACAAATGTAAGGTTTTTATTTTATTTTTTTACAGATGATGAAAATCTGTCGTGTGAATAGAGAACAAAAAAAAAAAAAAAAAAATTCAAGGACTTTCAAGGACAAGTATAATTTTTGGCTGTTTTCACAAACTTTCCAGGGCCTTGAAATTATTTTTATCAATTCACAAACTTTCAATGATTTCAAGGACCCATGGGAACACTCATAATTGAATCATTAACCATTTAATCGATATATCAATATGGATCAATGTATTGTTACACTCTTACTAACTACCTACTCATCTATCGACCTACCTGCAGCCAAACAACAAACAGAATCTTGTTGTTTTTCTTTCGACTGCTCACTTCTGCAGAGCGAGCCAACTTGCATGAAAGATTTGTAAAATCTTTTACACCAAATGTCCTTCCTGACACAACCCAGGCCCAAACCTGCAGCTGTAGGATTAAAAGACTGCAGCACTTACCACCGAGCTGCAGTGGCCCCTCAACAATAACCAGAATAAATGTGCGTACCTTTTTTAATGTGGCTATAACTTCAGCGTTCTTATGGAGAATCTGGCTGGTAACTGGTACAGAATCCAGCTCCTCCAGGGCTTGTAGACATCGTTCGATGTCCTAGAAAACAAACAAATATATAAAAAAGTCAGTTTTACTTGAAGCATTGAGACACACATCAGCACTGAACTGTTATTTCTGTAACTTACAGGGTTGTCCACTTTGAGTGCAAACTTAATATCTGTATGGAGTTTCTGTAGTCTTTCCTCTGGTGATGGCTCTGAGTGTACAAAAAAAACATTATTACAACTTACACTAATAGGAGAATTTGAAAAGCTGTAGTAGAGATTAAACAGTGAATGCTACTGACCCTTTTTCTTTTCTACTTTCTTTTCCTGCTGCCTCTCTGGTCTGCGTTTGGGTTTTTCTGGCCTAGACCTGTTAAAGGGAACTCTGTGATCTGTGTCCTTCGGTGTTTCATTGAGTTTATCTAAAAAAGGTTTACGAATTGTTGTCTGCTCGTATTTGTTCGCTCACCTGGCTCTGGACTTCTCCTCTGCCCGTCTGGCTTTCTTCTCCTTCAGCTCTTTCTCCTTTCGTTCTTTTCTCTCCTTCTCTTTTTTCACTTTCGCCGCTTTCTGTTTCTCTTGCTTCTTGTGCGATTTTTTCACCTTTTGGACAGGAAAAGAAGAAATTACACATCATACGCAATCACCCTGCTATAAATAAAACATTATATCTTGTGTAGCGTGTTCTAGTTCACGTGGCTGGAAGGTAAATCGACGTTTACCTCAGCTGGTGGTGGCGAGTCTGAGTCAGAGGGTGCAGGGATCGGGGGTGGAGGGGGTTTCTTGGACTTCTTCAGAGGGTGATCATCTATGCCTTCATCTGAACTACTGCTGCTGTCACTGTCGCTGCCTTTTTTAGCCTTGTCTTTGTCTTTTTTCCTTTTCTCTTCCTCTTCTTTCTCTCTTTCACGCAGTCGGCGGAGCTCCTCGGCCTCCTCCTTTTTCCTCTTCTCCTCCAGCTCTCGCCTGCGCTCCTCGTCACGTTTTTTCCATTCGCTGATGCGGTCGGGTTCACTGTCACTGTAAGAAGAAGAAGAAGAAGAGAAAAAAAAGAAAGAAAAGATTCAAAATGAAGCCCGTGTTTACAGCGTGTGACTCACGCCCCGGTAAAAATGGCAGCTCCAGAGCAGCCTGACCTGTCGCTGTCGGAGGATGACGAAGGAGCTCGTTTCACCGGGGCAGGTTTGGGTTTCCGCGCACGAGGCTTCGGCGCCGGTTTCTCTGGAAATCAGACAAAACATCGTGAACAGCTGACTGAAATGTTTTATTAAATCAGAGCCTAAATTCTTCTTTTCTTAAAATGACTTTAAAAAAAAAAACACAAATCCTGCGTAGGTCTGACCTTTCTTGCGAGCCTGTGGGCCCTTGCGAGGCGGTGCATCAGACTCTGAGCCAGACTTTGAGCCAGACTGGGATTCGGAGCCAGACAGAGCGGGCCGAGGCTTCTCGTCTTCAGAGTCGCTGTCCACCACCTTCCTCTCTGACCCTGATCCTGAGTCTGAATCTGAGTCAGACGAGGCCTTCTGTTGCATCACACGAAGAAAAGTTGGATAAAGAGAGAGAGAAATGTGGTTAATCTCACCCAGAGGTTTATAGTAACTAAGTACATTTATTTTATTACAGTACTTACTGTATTTATTCATATATAATACGATCATCTTTTGAGCTTAAAAAGCATTAAAAATCTAATTATCAATAACCCATGTATAATAATTACCCCCCCCCCCCACTTTATGATGATTTTTAGGGTTAAATTTCTAGTATTATACAAGAATAAATACAGTAAGTAGTTTTTTGAGGATTTGTAATTTTACCAATTATTTTTTAATAGCTACTTTTATTTTTATTTCGTTACATTTTAATGTTAAAAATTATACTTTTACTTCTTTACTTTAAAATGTAACACCTAGTTACTCCTTACCAAATTAAATATGTTCAAATTCATGAAAGGAGATGTTTCTGCACTCTAAAAACAAAGTGTTGAATTTACTCAATAAAGTCATGTCAGCTGGCTCCACTGAGCCAAGTCACGCAAACTGAGCAAATAATATATATTTATTGCTCAATTTACTAAACGTGGCTTAGTGGAACCAGTTTGGTTCAATAAAACCATCGGTTTATTTATTAGAGTGTGTAAAAGTAAAAGTATTTTTATTTTCACTTTTCCAATTTTTGTGAACAGTTTTATGACTTTTACTTGAGTAGTTTTCTTGTCAGTTAAATTTATTTTTTACCAAAGTCATTTTCTGTTCATGTAATTCTACTTTTATTAATTTTTTTCCAAGTACTTTATAGAGCTCTGATCTCACCTATAAATAAACAAAACAACGAGGGCAAAAGTTTACCTTCTTCTTCCCTCTGCCAACCGCTTTCTTTCCACCTCGTCCTCCAGATTTCTTCTCTGGAGTAAAATCCTGTTTAAAAAAAGGACAAAACACAGATTGATCATAGTCTGTCACCACAATCAGAAATCATTCTACAAAATGTACTTTTGTGTTTGGACCTTGTCACTATTTTTGCCGGAGTCAGACTCTGACGGTGTTGGTTCTGATTCGGACGGAGACACGCTCTCCTCCTCATCTCGGTCACTAGAAGAACCGCGGGCTTTTTTAGGTGGAGGAGGCCGCTAAAACAGAAAAGAACACTTATCTTTTAAATGAGACGTTAGCAAAGAAATCATTTTCTGTTCAGTTCAATAACTTGGTAACAGACGTTTGTTGTGGGGTTGGCCAATTAGCCGATAACGACTGATGTGATAATTAAACCCCTGGAGTCCCTGGACCCCGGTCACTTGACTGATTTAAATCATGCTAGTGGGAAAGACGTGCTCTCTCTACTCTAAGAATCCGTTCCAATATTTTTAAAAAGTACAGACTTTAAAGCTAAACACCATTTCTTAAAATTATGTTGATATTCCAAGTAAAACTGAAGTTAAAATAAATAATTCACAGCACTTATTTGTTTTTTGCGTTGCAGTGGCAGGCAGCAAAAGGCAAGTGGTGGGAAAAACACCTTAATCCACCCTGTGGTCTCACTCCCACCCCACCAAACTAACATTAGACCCCCAAACTCTTTTCTGACTGACTCTTGAAATTAAGTGACAAATGCCAAAAAAAATAAAATAAAATAAAATAAATAAAAAATAAAAAATCTACAGGAAGAATTGACTGTGGTGGAGAGAGAGATCAGGACTGAGTAATGAGGTGTGTGATATTTTGTGTGTTTGGGTTTTATAGTTAGGGTATAGATAGTGTGTTTAGTCAGTTTTAGTGTCTTTGAGTCAAAACAATGAGGTGATATTTGAACGTGGAGCTACAGCTGACTGAGATGGAGCTGAGGCCTGAGCTGCAGTCAGAACCTCTTCAGACAGGAGAGAGCAGCTCAAAGGCAGAGATAAACTGAGACAGAGTGAGGACTTTGACAAGGTAAAACAGAATAGAAAAAAGAAGCACTGGGTGGAATTAATCACCAAGTGTCAAATATCAACCATTAAATTATTTTCTGACAGTTAACTGCACGCGACATGATTTAACCTGACCCTCGTTTGTTGTGAGTAAAATGCTGTTTGTTTTATTTACCTTTGGAGCCGGTGGCTTTCTCTTCACTCCTCCTCCTCCCTTTCGTCTGTCGTCGCTCCCGGAGTTGGAGTCGTCCTCGCTACCCGAGTCGGCTTTTCGAGGAACTGGGGCGCCCTCGTCATCCTCCTCCTCGTCACTTCCTGCTCCTCCTCCACCATCGTTGCCTTCGCTGTCAGAGGAGCTAGCTGGCTGCAGGAATACGAGGCAAATTTCTTTCGATATAATATCTACGGTGTCTTCACACCTCGATAAAACCTTTAATATCAAGGCATTTTAAAAACCCTGTCCGAGGCTACGTTCACACTTCAGGTCTTAATACTCAAATAGGATTTTTTGGCACATGTACGATCACATTGTATTTTAAACGTGACCTCCATCAGACTCCAGTTTGAACCCCCCACAGCACCGATGCGACCCGCATGCGCAGAAAATGACGCGATGACACATTCAGCTCGCTGTTTACAGTGGTAGCTAAATATAGATGCTACATGTTAGCATGTCGATTCTGAAGCTGTTGTGCAATCAGAGCCAATTAAATATTTGTCTGACATGTTTGTTTAGTTCACTGCTTACATCTAACCGGCTGCTCCAGTGCAGCATGTATTTTTGGGAAAAAGTGATGAGCTAAAACTAAAATATTGATTCAGTAAGTTTAGTATTGATATGGTCCGAGAGAGACGAACGTTGCTTTGTTTATGTGGATTCTAAGTCATCCAGGGCATGGAAAATAAAAAAATAAAAAATCTGGACCTTTGCTCTCTAGCCATGCAGAGTTACAAGATTTAAACTGCATCACTTTGGCGTCAATACTCTGATTTGGTACCACATAATGAAAAGGACTGGGTCGGACTTGAAAAAAAAAATAATAATAATAATTTGGGTTGCATTTGCTTACAGTGTGAGTATAGCCTAGGATTAAATAGGAAGACAGCTGGTTTAGGAGAACATTTGGATCTTTAAGTATCAGGTTAACTTACTACAGGTGGGGCGCTGTAAGAGGCATGTGGATTGTTCTGGATCTCCCATAAACCTTCGTTGAACCCCTTCCTTTTGTTGGGTTTTCCATATCGCTCTTTGTACTTTTCATAAGCAAAAAGATCCTTCGGTGCAAGGAATGCTCTGTGACAAAGAAAAGAATCAACTTAACGGGCAGTCGAGAGGTGGGCAACTCGAGTTTTGAATAACAGGATGCTCACACTTTTATTAGAATTAGTCCATATTGGATACACTTTAAATCAGCACACTGAGCCCTCTAGTGGTGGCTTTAATTAAACACTGTCAACACAACTCTTATTTTGTTTGCCATTAAAATTACATTTATAAGTCTGAACAACCAAATAAATCATGCATAATAAACAGCCATATGACACATTAAATAAAACACAGACAGTGCTCGAATCCAGTCTCATTCTTTCATGTAGACCTAAAAACATCAAACTTGTCTTTATTTTATCAAATAGGACAATCTACAACATTTGCATTAGATGTTCTTGTGTGTAAAACTACTACATTCAGCCATACATAATAAATGTGACTCCACGGCTCTGACAGCTTGTTGCTGTTTAAAATATGAAACGGAAATCAGCAAAAGCTGGAGCTACAACTGCACAACAAAGTATTAAACACAGTTAATCCCAGACGACGAGAACACTCACGTTTCATGAGTCCCAAAGAAAAAAATCGGGATTTTATTAGGAGGTGGTTTCACAGCTCCATCAGCCACATCTTCAATCTGTAAACAAGTAAAAAAAATAAAATAAAATAAAAATCAAGTAATAACCAAGAGATAAACACTGTGAGATCCAATGCTCCTGAAACTGAAACATTTTCTGCGCCTAAAATAATCAGTGTGGTTTTTCTACGTCTTAGGGAAAAAAAAAAAGAGTTTGTAATACAGGAAACAAGCCTCAGTTATCACAAACGTCATTTCCAAATTAACATCGTTAGCTTCGCTGTCTCCCTGCAGACATTAGGCCAGCAGTGTCTCTTGCAGATGCTACTATTCATTCACATGATACTGGGGGTTATAAACAGCATTTCAGCACGCAGACTATGGTTTATGTGTTTGTTGGTTTTCATTAGATTCTACAGGAATGAACACAAGATAATCTTTTCCAGCGTCCCATGCAGAGCAGCCCACCCCCTCCTCTCCGCCCCTTCGGCTCCTTTGCTCGCTTACCCGAGCTGGCCAGTGGGGGTATCCCTTCATTTTAGCGAAGACCAGGTCTCCGGGCTGGAAGTTGTGCGGCATTGTTCCACTTCTCCGTGCAGCCTGGGTGCTGGGGGAAAAAAAATCAGTCGCGCTGTCTTCCCGTGTCTCTAAAGGTTTGATGTTTTCAGGTCGACACAAAACCTGGAAACGATGGAGTTAGCTAGCAAGCTAGCAGCTGCATACTAACCGAATACTAACGTTACCGCGAGACCGAAGATAGAAGTATCGCACAAGGTACTTCCGCTTAGGAATCAATCGTAGACTTCAAAATAAAGTACTTAGCGTTTGGGTTGTTTACTAGAGGTAATGAAATTACAAATTCTAATTAATTTTAGTAAACGCTTTAAAATATCTAAATTAGCACATTTACCTGAGAGCATTTTACCAAATGGATTTATTGTAACACTAAGTCTTATTGTTAGAATATTGTTATTTTAGCTACATAACCTTTTTGGTCATTGCTGTATTCTATTTATACATACAGTGGTTTGCAAAAGTATTCATACCCCTTGAACTTTTCCATATTTTGTCACATTACAACCACAAACATAAATATATTTCACTGGAATTAATGTGAAAGACCAACACAAAGTGGTATACAATTGTGAAGTGGAAGCAAAATTTTACATGAATCAAAACATTTTTTACAAATAAAAAACTGAAAAGTGCGATGTGCAAAATTATTCAGCCCCCCTGAGTCAATACTTTGTGGAGCCACCTTTTGCTGCAATTACAGCTGCAAGTCTTTTAGGGTATGTCTCCACCAGCTTTGCACATCTAGTGACTGCAATTCTTGCCCATTCCTCCTTGCAAAACAGCTCAAGCTCAGTCAGATTGGATGGAGAGCGTTTGTGAACAGCAGTTTTGAGATCTTGCCACAAATTCTCAATTGGGTTTAGGTCTGGACTTTGACTGGGCCATTCTAACACATGAATATTCTTTTTTTTAAACCACTCCATTGTAGCTTTGGCTTTATGTTTAGGGTCGTTGTCCTGCTGGAAGGTGAACCTCCGCCCCAGTCTCAAATCTTTTGCTGACTCCAACAGGTTTTCTTCCAAGATTGCCCTGTATTTGGCTCCATCCATCTTCCCATCAACTTTGACCAACTTCCCGGTCCCTGCTGAAGAGAAGCACCCCCAGAGCATGATGCTGCCACCACCATATTTGACAGTGGGGATGGTGTTTTCAGAGTGATGTGCAGTGTTCTTTCTCCGCCACACATAGCGTTTTGCATTGTGGCCAAAAAGTTCAATTTTGGTCTCGTCTGACCAAAGCACCTTCTTCCACATGTTTGCTGTGTCCTCAACATGGCTTCTGGCAAACTGCAAACGGGACTTCTTATGGTTTTCTTTTAACAATGGCTTTCTCCTTGCCACTCTTCCATAAAGACCACATTTGTGTAGTGCACGACTAATTGTTGTCCTGTGGACAGTTTCCCCCACCTGAGCTGTGGCTCTCTGCATTTCATCCAGAGTCACCATGGGCCTCTTGGCTGCCTCTCTGATCAGTGATCTCCTTGTTCGGCCTGTAAGTTTAGGTGGACGGCCTTGTCTTGGCAGGTTTACTGTGGTGCCATACTCTTTCCATTTCCGGATGATGGATTGAACAGTGCTCCGTGAGATGTTCAAAGCTTGGGAAATCTTTTTATAACCTAAGCCTGCTTTAAACTTCTCCAAAACCATATTCCTAACCTGTCTGGTGTGTTCTTTGGACTTCATGATGCTGTTTGCTCCCCAATATTCTCTTAACCAACATCTGAGGCCGTCACGGAGCAGCTGTATTTGTACTGAGATTAGATTACACACAGGTGGACCCTTTTGAGTCATTAGCAGTCATCAGGCAACTTCTGAATGCAATTGGTTGCACTCAGGGAAAAGGGGGCTGAATACTTTTGCACGTCGCACTTTTCAGTTTTTTATTTGTAAAAAATGTTTTGATTCATGTAAAATTTTGTTTCCACTTCACAATTGTATACCACTTTGTGTTGGTCTTTCACATTAAATTCCAGTGAAATATATTTATGTTTGTGGTTGTAATGTGACAAAATATGGAAAAGTTCAAGGGGTATGAATACTTTTGCAAACCACTGTAGAATATTTTATAATTTTCTGATCTTACATATAGACAATTGGTTAGTGTGTGTGCGTGTGTGTGTCTGTGCACGCGCATATATATATATGCGCACATATATATATATATATATATATATATATATATACGCGCGCGCACACACACACACACACACACACACACACACACGCACACACACACTAACCAATTGTCTATATGTAAGATCAGAAAATTATAAAATATTCTATGTATAAATAGAATACAGCAATGACCAAAAAGGGTATGTAGCTAAAATAAAGTTTTAGCACCTCAGTCCTGAATTTATTTATTTTTTTAATTCATTTATTTTTGCAGTTTTCTTTTATTTCAATGTGAAAGCATAAAACATGGTATTTACGAAAATATAAAAAAAAACTACAAGTCACATATCTGTTCTGTAAAGAAACCTTTGTCATCCCTACTACAATAAAGCTTTAAACAATAAATTAGTTTATTATTATTATTTTTAATACATTAGAAAACACACATTTTATCATAACCAGTGTATGTTTTGCTTTAAATACTATTTAATGAACCATTAATTTAATAAAAGTATTATTTGTTAGGAATTGATTTCACACCGGAAATAGTTGTTTGATATTTTGAAACTCTTTACAGAACCGGACGTCGCTGTCTATTCTCCGTCACTTGATACGCCAGACACAGCGGAAGTCCCGCCTTCCCTGCCTCCGGATTGGCTGACTTGCAATCGGGTTTCTTTTCCGTCCAATACGTTGACCGCCCCCCGGGTTCACCTCTAACGCGAAGCCATGTTTCGCTCTTTTAGAACCGTCCAGCAGTTTAACTGCAACCTCCGAACTTTGCAAAAACTCCACGTCAACTCCAAACTCCTCGTCTACACGTCTAGAATGGCTAGTTCGGAGTACAGGGTCGAACGGGACACGTTTGGCGAGCTCAAGGTCCCAGCTGACAAGTACTACGGTGCTCAGACTGTCAGATCCACCATGAACTTCAAGATAGGGGGACCGAGTGAGAGGATGCCCCTCCAAGTGATCAAAGCTTTTGGTATCCTGAAGAAAGCAGCTGCCCAGGTGAACAAGGATTACGGGCTCGACCCAAAGATAGCAGATGCCATCGTTCAGGCTGCTGATGAAGTGTCAGCCGGGAAGCTGGATGATCATTTCCCTCTGGTGGTGTGGCAGACTGGATCAGGAACTCAGACCAACATGAACGTCAATGAGGTGATCAGCAACCGGGCAATTGAGATCCTGGGAGGGAAACTAGGCTCCAAGGATCCAGTTCATCCCAACGACCACGTCAACAAGAGTCAAAGCTCCAACGACACCTTCCCCACCGCGATGCACATCGCTGTCGCCACAGAGGTCCACCAGGTCCTGCTGCCCGGCCTGCAGACTCTGCACGACGCTCTGGCCGCCAAGGCCGAAGAGTTCAAAGACATCATCAAGATCGGACGCACCCACACCCAGGACGCCGTCCCGCTCTCGCTCGGACAGGAGTTCGGCGGCTACGTCCAGCAGGTGAAGTACAGCATAGAGCGTGTGAAGGCCGCCATGCCAAGGGTGTACGAGCTGGCGGCTGGAGGCACGGCGGTCGGGACTGGACTCAACACCCGCGTCGGCTTCGCGGAGAAAGTGGCGTCCACCGTCGCCTCTCTCACCGGCCTGCCGTTCATCACGGCCCCCAACAAGTTCGAAGCCCTGGCCGCTCATGACGCCCTGGTGGAGCTGAGCGGAGCCCTGAACACGGTGGCGGTCAGCATGATGAAGATCGCCAACGACGTCCGCTTCTTGGGCTCGGGACCCCGCTCGGGTCTGGGGGAGCTCATCCTGCCGGAGAACGAGCCGGGGAGCAGCATCATGCCCGGGAAGGTGAACCCCACCCAGTGCGAGGCCATGACCATGGTGGCGGCGCAGGTGATGGGGAACCACGTGGCGGTGACCGTCGGAGGCAGCAACGGACACTTCGAGCTCAACGTCTTCAAGCCCATGATGGTGAAGAACGTGCTGAACTCGGCGCGGCTCCTCGGCGACGCCTCCGTGTCCTTCACCAACAACTGCGTGGTGGGGATCCAGGCCAACGTGGAGAGGATCAACAAGCTCATGAACGAGTCCCTGATGCTGGTCACGGCACTCAACCCTCACATCGGTTACGACAAGGCGGCCACCATCGCCAAGACGGCCCACAAGAAGGGTTCGACGCTGAAGGCCACGGCCGTGGAGCTGGGCTACCTGACCGAGGAGCAGTTCGACCAGTGGGTGAAGCCCAGTGAGATGTTGGGGCCCAAGTGAAGTCTGGAAACTCGAGAACACTACGGAACACAACAAACGCTCTTTTCTGCAGCGAGGAGGGGGGCTTGTGTAGACATCTGAGCTGTTGAACTGAGTGAACATTAATTTTCTGAATCCCAAAGATCTTGAATTAAAATCCCAGAGAATTCTTTGATCTCCGTCTAAAACATATTCTATAGGACCGTTTTCTGAATAAAACCTTGTGACTTTTGTCCTCCAGTAACATCTTAAATTTGATTTTAATTTGTGTCACCGTTAAATCCATCATGGATGCTTGGATTGCAGTACGCTTTGACTTAAGGTTTACAACATCTGTGCCATTTTCACAGTTCAAATAAATGTATTGTTTCAAAATAAATGCACTTTGATCCATGTTTTCTTTAAACACCATGGTACACAAAGACTTGTGTAGTCTAAAGTGAAAACAAAACATTAAATACTTTATTGTGCACACCAAAGAGTTACAACTTCAGAATGAATGCTGAGTCAGCTCAAACTTGGCTTTTATGAAAAATAAACAAAAATTTGCACGTAAAAAAGGTAACCATCTCCTCTTTCACTTGGTCCAGCTGACTTTTGGAATATCGTAATGCTCGGTCAGGTTGTCCAGGTGGCGATTAAAATCCTGTAAGGATAAAATGGTAATTAATATAAATTACAAGATGAACATGTTTTATGATTTAATTTTCAGGTTACCTTTTATATACCACAGGTTCATTTATATAGAGAATCGAAACTGACAAAAGAACTGTATATAAAAAGGCCCAATAAATATACTTAAAATGTGACAGTTAATTTAAGAAAGGAGAATTTCCTTTATGTTTTATAGTTTGACCATTTTTTTCCTGCACATTTCCAACAAATTATATATTGTAGCACACAATTTATATTTTAGCAGTTTTCCTTTTATGTTATTTGTTTTTCCTTTTACTTGTAGATGAATTTGTTTTTTCACCACAAGTCTTTATTTTTATTATGCAAACAAGGCGGGCCGCCCATCTTGGGACAGCTCTTCTACTGTTGACCAATAAACAGGAAGGAGCAGGATCCATGTGCAGATCCAAAGTGCTGGCTTGCACTGCCTCAGTTTAAAGCTTAGTTTAAAACAAAAAGGCACAGGTAGGAGTTTTTCCTTCTTATTTTTCGTGGAAATAAAAAGACTTGTGGGAAAAATAAAACTCAAATGCATGTAAAAATAAACGAAAAACAATGTGCTAAAACATGTAATTTGTTGGAAATAAATTGGAAAAACTAGGGGAAATGAGGGAATTTTTTTAATTAATTGGTGCAATTTAAGTACTTATTTATTTATTTGCTCATTTATACATTTCTGCTTTTATTTTTAATGATGTCAGTCTTGGTCTTCCATACATTTATGGTACGTTCACACCGAATGCGTTTTGAGCGGCAGGAGCGGACGATTTACATGCAAAGTCTAAGGAGGACACGCCTCTAGGGGTTGTGCGTCGCGTCACGTACATTTTGGGCGGCGCGCAAGGAAGGCGGAAGGAGCGCAGAGCGTTTTCCGCACATGCGGTACTGCGGAAGCCGCCGCCGCCAGAGTTCAAATATGTGAACTTTTCGCCGCTCGACGTGTCTCCCACTGAAAACCGAAACAGACGAACTGGAGATCTTTACCTGAAATCGACCGTGTGCAGTTGGATTTTCTGGCAGGATATATCAGCACTGATGTGGATCAGCTGCTCGGGACCAAAAAAAAATGGTACGTCAGCTGGCAGCTTCTGGAGTGACGAAACTAACTGAACAAATCGCCTCTAATCATGTGGTGAGTTAATTATCTGCTGTGCGCAACGTTCGCATGCTTTTTATTAAATAAATCAAAGGCATTTTATTTTACTTTATCTTTATTCACCCGCCGAGGACAAGCTCCTCCCACACCTCGCTGCTGCTGCTTGTTCTGGTCTGAACACTAGTGCGTTCTTCGGTCTGAAAATAGTGCGTCCAACGAGAGGCGTTTTGTGCTTTTTGGCCGCTCAAAACGCGTTCGGTGTGAACGTAGCATTAAACATCAATGTCACAATGACAAATCAAGACACTTAAAAATCAATTTTAGGACGACAACTCTCCACAGAGAAAACATTTAAACGCAGGATAAAAGACGACAGTCTGGTTCATGATGCACTGGATTAAAGTTATAGCAGCGCATTGTAATAAATTAAGGGAGGGTCCAGTTCTACAACTCAGACCAGAAGTCAGACTCACCTCTACTCTGTGTTTGTGTGTTTTTGATGCTTTCTTTAAAATCCGCTCCATTTGCTGCAAAAAAAAGAGAAAGATGGATAAGTGCAAAAACAATATATATATATATCGTCTTGATATTTTTATAT